AAAAAATATAAAAGCAAAAATAAACATTAATCTGTCACCAATGTTAACATTTTGATACATTTCTTTCCAGTACTTTTTCTGTGCATACATACTATTTCATAAGCTTGTGGGACTAATGTAATACACAGGGTTATAGCTTGCCTTTATCTATTTAGTATATTATAGGCATTTCCATATATACATAATATTTCTAACATGTATATTTAAAACAAAACAAAAGTCACAGATACAATAAAAAGAATGGTGGTTGCCAGAGAGGTGGGCAAAAAGGATGAAGGGGGTTGAGAGGTACAAACTTCCAGTTATAAAATAAATAAGTCATGGGGATGTAATGTATAGCATGGTGACTAGGGTCAATAATATTGAAGTGTATACTTGAAAGTTGTCAAAAGAATAAATCTTAAAAGTTTTCATCACAAGAAAAAAATAATTTTCTGAAACTTTGTAGGGTGATAGATGGTAACTAGCCTATGATAATAATTTTGTAGTGTATACAAATATTGAATTACTCTGTTGTATACCTGAAACTAATATAATGCCATATGTCAATCATACCCCAATAAACATAATAAAATATATGTATACATAAAATATGTAAATACATAAAATATGTAAATAACATTGTTATAGATGTCTATATATCATATATACCATAGAGATCTACCGTAATTTCCCTACTCCCCTATTATGTATATTTTGTTGTTTATAATTTAAACCTACTATACATAATGTTGCATCATAAATATTTCAATATTTCCTTAGGATAGAGTCCTAGAAATAGGATTACTGAGACAAAAGACACGAACATGTAAAAAATATATATACATATTGCCAAAGCGCTTTCCCACCACATGTTCATCCTCTCAGACTCTGAGTGTAATACTATTTTAAACTTGCCAATTTGAAAGATAAAAAAGTCTCACTGTTCTTTTAATTTACATTTCTTTGATACTCATAAGTTTGAACATTTTTCATATGTTAATTAGCCATTTGTCTTTCCTTCCAGTGCATTTTAAATAAGATTGTATTTACTTACAACTTTGCAAAAACAGTTATTTCACAAATCAAATCAAAATACCTGATCTTAGTGTATAAACCAGCCTCAAAAAAGATAATGGAGGACTGGGAGTTTGGGATTAGCAGATGCAAACTATTATATATAGAATGGATAAACAACAAGGTCCTCCTGTATAGCACAGGGAACTATATTCAGTATCCTGTGATAAAGCATAATGGGAAAGAACATGAAAAAGGATGTATATATACATATAAACACACATATATATGTAAAATGAAACCACTTTGCCGTACAGCAGAAATTAACACATTGTTGATCATTATATTTTAATAAAATAAATTTTTAAAAATATATTTTAAAAGAGATAATGGATGTTTCTCTTGCATAAGGTGAAATGCTGTTTTCATTGTATTTCAGGTCCAAATTATAACTAGGCTTAGTCTTCAGATAATTTACAACCAAGGGTATAGGAGTGGATAGAAAACTTGTATATAAAAACAAATGATCAAATTTTTCATGTTATAGGGAAATATCTATACCTAAATGTCTATATAGATAAACACATATACTAAGTGTGTATTTATATACCGATAATTTGTGTATATAATTCACCACAGGTGGAGATGATTTTTGATCTGAAAACCTTAATATATTTCCATAACCTCTGGTCATGTGCAAACTTGGTTTGAAACCCATTAAAAACTTCAGTTGATGTGCCCATTTGAAAATTTTACCAGCCACCATTTGTCTCTTAAGCTACAAATCAGGCCTAACAAGTATCTTATAATGAGCTAAAGGCAAATGCTATGTGGTTGATTTAAAAGAATCACCACTGCACACTCTCATAGAGAAAGCAATAGGCATTAAATAGTGTTTATAGAAACTGAAACGCTAAAGTGTTCAGGGAGGTTAAGGGGGAAATAAGTCTGTTTATAGATTTCAAGCAGCACTGAGGAGATGTGACACTCTTCTGAGGAGAGGAGCAAAAAAGGCCTGATGTTTGGAAAGACAGTAATAGGGGAATGTAAGCTATATGTGGGACCTGAGAGACCCCTGGGTCCATCCTGGCTCTGCCACACACTGGGATGTCCTTGCACATAGAACTAGACCCTCTGCCCTCATGCCTCACAATTTTACTTTTAGGATTTAATAGCAACTTGCCCAATGTCCATCCTACAGAGTATAGGTACTTAACATGCATAGCACTTAGTATTATTACAATGGCAAAGCATGACAACCAGGAGGCTGGACACAGTGACAATCATGGGGGGGAAAGTGGCAGGGACATTGTGGAGCTGATGAGCTGGGTCCAGGGTCACAGGAGGGCAACTGGAGGTGGGGCCAAGGCTGTAATCACAAAAGAGCTTTTGAGTGACCATGAGGCAGTTGAGTCCCTTCAAGGTCTATGGGGCATGACATGATGAAAAGAAATCAAGAGACTCTCCTGTTGCTGTAATGAAAACAGCCTGCTGGGAAGTGTTTTACTGCATAATGAAAAATCACCTGGCACCACGCAGGGGACTGTGACCTCACAGGATAAACAGGACCCGAGTGCCCGACTCCAGGTGGGGAGCCAAACTCAGCCTGCAGCAAACGTCTGCTGAATCAGGCTCACTGTGCTAAGACGTGACTTTTACCGTGACTTAGGTTAGAAGTGGGCTGCTAGGTAGAGACGGGACATAATAAAAATGTGCTAGGTGCTCAGACCAAAGCTGTACATTGCTGAATCTGGTCCTTTGCTTATCACAAATAATTAGGCATCACTGCCTCTGTGATGTTGGCTTCTCAGATAACACATTTCTACATTACTGTACCAGTCAACTCTGCAGCATTTCCAAATTTCAAGGCAGTTTATTTGTCTCATATTTTCTTAGGCAGGCTTATGAGGACTCACATATAAGTCTACTGATTAAGTACCTAGAAGGACATTTTAAGTAAAAACACCTTCAATTATAACGGTTTTTTAATTATAGAAATCCATGATACTCCCCCAGGTAAGCAAAGAAACCCTACTATGTAACCCCCACCCAAGTCTGCTAATCATAATTTACCTACCATTTGCTACATCTAGGGGAAGGTCTTATGTTAACTCAGAGTTAGTGGAAATGCTATACCAGGCTTCATTAGTTTATTATTTGAAATAATGCTTAATGCCCTTCTTTCCTCTTCTATTCTGCTTCTTTCTGCTTTCTGCACACACTCAAATATATAAACATTCACTATGAGTCCATTTCTTAACATACAACTTTTCTTTTCCTCAGTAAAAACCTGGAAAAATTACACCAAAGAGTGAAGACAAAAATTTGATCTTTTCAACCACTATTGTAAATGCATACCTTGATCATTACCAAATTATTTCACTAAAGAATCAACCCAAGGAAACTAGAGTTATTCTTTCCATCTCTTATGAAAAAGCTTACATAATAGTTTTGTAAAGTGTTTTTTCATGTCTTCAGTATAAATTACAAATTCCCTCTCAAGATAGTCTTGCATATCTCAGACCTGATTAAGTAGATGAGCAAGAGTAATAATCTTAGATAATAATCAAGATAATCTTAATCATTTGTAGTTTGCATTTTTGTTAGTAAAACTTAGCTTTGGTACTTCTTAAACAAAGAAGAATCATGGAGTCTGGGAAGGAACTAGCAGGAAATGTACAAAAGTTAAATCTTAGCATTTCATTAATACTTGTCTCACCAATAAGGCATTAATAGCAATATCTGCTTCATGTGATTTTGTCAGGACTAACTAATATCACATATATGTTACACTTATTTTATAATGCTATGTTTTATATACATTATATATATATATATATATACACACATACACATACATTAGAGAAAGAGGCTCACTGCATAACAGGCAGTGAGCACATGATTACTATTGTCCCCCTCCCCACTTTTTTATCACTACTTCTTTGAAATAATAACATGGAATTTTTCATCAGAGGGCCATGAAAATTCGCGATCCTATAGGCACCTACTAACACCCAACCCCTATCTCCACTTCAGACTCCTGTCTGAACCTCAGCTCTCCAACCTTGCAAGGACTCAGAGAATTGTAGGCAGGGGTACTTAATAAATATTTGTTGATGATGAACCAATATCTGCCATATCACAGCAGCTCTAATAGATCTGCCTCACTCACAAAAACAAGGACTGAAGAATGTAGAATAACAGTCCGAGGCTCTGACAGCCCATCTCTGGATTTCAATTGGATCACCCTCCACACAATTTCTTCCATGATTGTGCCTGCACACCCATCTTGCAGTGGTTCTCCGAGTATCCTTTTGGGATCTGCCCCAGTTCCCAATGCACAGTCAGGGTCTGCTTGCTTTCGTGGCCCATTTCGTACCCCGCATTCTAGTTCTACCTCAGACTTCTTGCAGCATTTGATTCCGGTGTTGCCCTCTATCCTCAAACCCGCAACCCCAGGTAAAACACCCATCTCCTACTCCCCTCACCCTCCCCCGCTCTCCCACCCCGCCGCTGGGAAGGAAAACCAGATACTCAGACACTTCAGGACTGGTGTGGTCCAACCAAGTAATACACACAATAACTTCTAGAAAGATCGAATGCAAGAGTATCCCGGATGTACCAGATCAAGGTTATCCTCTCAGGGGCAAAGGGCTGGGGTCAGCACATGGAAGTCAAAGTCACCAGTGGTTAAGTGAAGAGCTGGCACTCGAGGCCAAGCACCAAAGATGGACCCAAACCAGCAGGTGTCTTTAATCAAAGCTACATAACATGCTTTCAGCCAAAGATGTGGCCCCCAGTCGACCCAAAGGTTTACCTTAGTCACTGAAGACGAGATGATTCCCCGAAGCTCAAGTACCCCTGCAGGTGGCAAGGAAGGAAACAGCACAAGAAGACCACGAGACTGGAGACAGCGTGAGAACATCATGCGAGAAGACCATGCAGAGAAAACCACGCGAGAAGATCGTGCAGCTGGAAACAGAGCAGCTGGTGGTAGCGCGTGAGGCTGACGGCGGGAAACTGGGCCCAGAAGGCCGAGACCTGAGGTGCTTGTGGCGGACGAGAGCCTGGGCGCCGAGTGCCTCGCCGGGTGTCTGTTAACGGGCATAAGGCCATAGATAGAGAAACAAAGAGAGAGCACGGCCGGGTCTCTTCAAAGCCTCCGGCCGACGAAAGGATTGGTTCAGAACTGAAGGCCGTGACGAAGCTATCGCTTCTCGGGTCCACGGGTCGGACGCTGAACAGGCACCAGACAACGTCTCGCGTTCAGGTCAGGCTTCGGCAGGTCGCGTGGCCCTCCCGGAATGGCTCCCACGAACGGGCCCAGCGTCCAGCTGTCGAACGAAGCAAGGTCGGACGAACTTGAGAAACCTAGGAGCCCTGGGATTTCTGCCAGAGCAGGTGAGGAGAGGATGCTGAGGGCGGATAGGGAGAATCCAGAGAGCCTCCATAGCCCCTCTCCCACCCCCAGGATGTCAGGGCAGTGGTCAGGCAGGTCTGGCTGAACCACAGGACCGCGGGGCTGGCCGCTCCAGGCTTTTCCAGATCTGGACTGGCACGGAATACCTCAGCACCGAATCAGGCCCAAAACATGATCAGAGGCGATGGATGAAGTGGGTCAGTCCCCAGCACACCAGGCTTGCTGGAGGCCATGAAGCTCACTTAAAAGGACCCATTCTTGTTTTCCCCTCTTAGGCTGTTCACACCCAGCAAGAACGGTGCTAAATAAGTGCTTTCAGGTGCCCTGTTCCTGGAGCAGATCCTAATAGCTGTGTGATTTTGCTGGCCCAGACTTGGTCATTGCATGGTGGCCCTCTCCGCAGGTGGTACGCAGCTCAGTGCAGGTTTCCTTGGCTCTTTTATTCTTTTCTTGACTCAGTGAGCATCTGCCACTGGGTTTTTCACCTAGATGGGTGATGGCCACTATTTGTTCAGTTAGCCCATCTCCTGGGCTTTGACAGTACAAAACTTGCATCTAGCCTTTTTAACTAAAGTTAGATTCAGTTTGTGTTTTGGCTCTTAAGATTTTGACAGGTTGGCTGCCCTTGCTTGACCTTCTCTCTCTGCAAATACAAGGTCTATTGGAAATCTGGAGTTGTCACTTTTTTCCCCTGGGCAATCAACTGTACAATCACACGGAATGCTTGCTATTGTCATTACTGTAACTCTGGGGACACAGACACCATATAACTCTGCCGAGTTTAAAAAGGGGGTGGGGGGGTGGGAAACAAACTCATAACTCAAGAAGCTACCAGGGTTTCAAGTGTGGCCTTCAGGAGCCCAGGACTGCTGAGCCACTAACATCCGAAACGCTTGGATCTGAAGAGACATAATGTGTATTGGCATTATCAGCAAAGCGCTTGAGCTGACTCTGTTTTCATATTCCTTAACCCAAATTCCTTTGAAAATGAAAGTAAAAATAAAGCAATACTCCTCATCATTTCCTCCAGACCTTGGAGTCTGGATTAAAGAAAATTTGCTGATTTTGCTGACCTTCACAAAGGTGCCACGGGGGTGAGGAGAGGGAATTGTTGCATCAGGGGCTGGTGTGGGTCCTAATAGCTGAGCTTAGCTTGTGCTTTAGATATTTTCTTTCAAACTTGCCTTTTTGCTGTTGCAGCTGGGCTTGTCAGTTTTCAGTACTAATGGGTTGTGATGGGGTGTCAGGGGAAGTCAACAATCAATGCTTCGGGGAAAAAAAATTGGGGCGGGTGGGAGCATCACTGCTGACATGGCCAGGAACGGAAGTTCAGTGGTCTTCTTTTGTAGAAAAAATAGACAAGAAATCCTGTGCTGTGTTTTGCTTTTAAGATTAGTATAGATTTTTATTCTTTGATGACTGGGCTGCCTGCTCTTCCCCACCTTAAACTTGTCTATCAAAAACATACATTTTGGGTTTTAAATAACCACTTTACAATATAGTTAAAATTGTAATTCATGTTGCGGGTTGTAGTTATTTCTTGCAGGGAGATCAAACAAGATAAGGAAATGTCTACTGAAAAAGAAGCATGAGAAAAATAGTGTGAAATGGCTGGGGCTACCTTGTAAAAGAGGGCTCTTTTAGGAAAAACTCATTTTGGCCCCAATGTTGTGTGACATGAGAATGCCATTACAGTAACACTCAGCATGATGATGCTAATGTAAAAATATCAATGCCTCACTGCAGTTTGCATCCGGGGCTAGATATAGCATTGAAAATGTTTTCTTACTAATAATTCAGTAGAACCCTATTATGACACTGATGTCAGAATGCAAGAAAAATATTTCCTTCATAGGTTGCTTTATTTGAGTCATATATCAGGGAATATGCATGGGAAGTGATTTGATGAACAATCAAGTGTAATATAATCTATGATAGCCAAGAACTTTCTAAACGAGGGTTTACTGTACTTTTTTACATAAATTATATTTATGCCAAAAATCCCAAAGTGCTTATCAAGTGAAAATATTCCAAGTTGATGTTACATAATACATGAAAGCCTAAGTTTTGTGTGATTCAGAGTAAAACTCAGCGTCACACCCTGATTTATTCACCTTGTAAATCCAATTCGGCAAGTCCCAGGTCTTCTTAAATTTCCTTTAAGTCCCTCTGTATTCATCTTTCTTTTTAGAATTGAAAAATTTAGTTACAGGGGAAAATGTGGAAAGTTTCTGAAGTTGTAGTGAAATGAACCTCTGCTAATCCCATATCCCTGCCCTGTATTATGTTTTCTTCCTTCACCATACTTCACAATCTTACCCAGCCCAATTATTATTTTCAACTTCAGCCTTTCTGTATTATCAGGAATTTAAATAAGCATATAGTAGTTTAATAACCAGACAAATAACACACCTAGTTTAATCCTTAAAAAATTATATTATCCACCGGGAAGGAGTAGATGTACTTTTTATATTCCTCATATGATTACAACTGAAAAGTCTGAACAGCAATATATATAGTCTAGTAAATATGTAGTTATTATTAATATAGTCATTATATATTGTTTATTCATTTATTATATAAATACTATATATATCATATATTCATTTATTATATAAATATATTTATATATAATTATATCATTTATATTTACTTATACTATATGTAATATTTTTATTTTATTTATATAATAATTATATGTAATATATATAACACATAAAAAATGAATAAACAATATAAATGGCAACCCATTCCAATATTCTTACCTGGGAAATCCCATGACAGAGGAGCCTGGCAGGCTGCAGGCCACAGGGTTGCAAGAATCAGACAAAATTTGGCGACTAAACTACCATCACATATCAAATGTACATATGTAAACCAAACTCAGAGACTCTGAAAAGTGGAGGGAAGGAGACAGACTTGACTTAGGACCTTGAGACTTGAGAATCCAGACCATGGTGAATTCCCTGGGTTTTATTTTTGTCTCATATATTACAGACTTGAAACTAGAAAAGGTGGCAACCCTGAAATGCCAATAGATGCTAACCAGAAAAGTCCCAGCAAAAGCGTGCCCTCTCTAGCCAAAGGACCATGAAGCAGCCAGCTTAACAAGACAGAAAACATTTAAACAATGACCTCTCTATTCCACTCAAACACCATAGGTAAAACTGTGGCCCCATTCACACCAGCAAAGGTTGAGTGGGAGCCTAGACCTCCACCTTCAAGAGGCTGTAAGAAGGAATCCAGTGCTCTCATTAGGGAGCAATCAGGGAAGACCAAATGAGGAGTCAGGACATTCATCCCCACCAACTGATAATCAGATTCCCCACCACTTTGCCCATGAAGTGGTGTCGGTAGAAATCACATGGGGAACCAGAACTCCCACTTCTGCCCAACAGTATTGAGGCAATGCACCCAACTTCCCTTGCCACAGCAGTGCAGAAAAAACCAGCAAACATCAAAAGTTTAAATATTTATGTCCAGAATCTCATAGCATAATAGAAATATGCCCAGCTTTCAATTGAAAATAACCCTTCATCCAAAAAATCAGGATGATCTCAAATTGAATGAAAAGGACAATCTATAAATGTTAACACCGAGATGACAGATGTGTTGAATTATCTGACAGCGATTTTAAAGCAGCCATGACAAAAGTGCTTCAACAAGCAATTATAGTCATGCTTGAAAAAATAAAAAACCTCAACAGACATAACAAAGGAATACAACTCTACATACACGGATTTAAAAACTTAGACCACTTCTGAAAAAAAAAAAAAAACCAGTCACAATTCACCCAAAATTAGTTTTGGCCCAGATGATTTCATTAAAGAATTATGCTAGACATTTGAATAAGAATTAACACCAATTTTACATAATCTCTTCCAGAAAATAGAAGAGGAGGGAACACTTCTCAGTTTATCTTATGAAACTATTGTTACCCTAATACTAAAGTGAGAGGAAAAAAAAAGCAGTACCACAAAAGAAAGCTGTAGTGTATCCAGTAGTATCCTTCATGAAAATAGATCTAAAAATCCTTAATAAAATACTAAAAAAAGCAGTACCACAAAAGAAAGCTGTAGTGTATCCAGTAGTATCCTTCATGAAAATAGATCTAAAAATCCTTAATAAAATACTAAAAAAAGCAGTACCACAAAAGAAAGCTGTAGTGTATCCAGTAGTATCCTTCATGAAAATAGATCTAAAAATCCTTAATAAAATACTAATAAATAAATCTCTGCAATATATTTTAAAATTGCATATACCATGACCAAGTGGGGTTTATGTTAGGAATGCAAGGCTGGTTCAATATTCAAAAGTCAGTCAATGTAATCCATCATATTAAACTAAAGAAGAAAAGTCACATAATTGTATCAATGCAGAAAAATATTTTGAACATATTCAACACCCATTGATGATAGAATATCTTAGGGAAAAACATCCTATTCATTCTTCTATGACCAAATAAACTCCTTTACTTACTGGTATAATCTCAGGCAAATATTTACTCTTTCTAATTAACCTCTCATCTGAAAAAAGGGGGAGCGGAAATGATATCTAACTCACTGAATTGTGTGAATTATTATTATATACACTAATTATACTGACACTAATTATTAGTAATTAGAAGCAAGCTTGTTAAGTAATGTTCAATGAAATGGCTTCTTTCCTGGTTTTGCATACTCTCAGCATCAGAACCAAGGCTTCAAAGTTGGATAAGACCCTCTTAGTTCAAGTATCTACCTACTATAGTACCTAAAGTTCAGTTCAGTCGCTCAGTCATCTCTGACTCTTTGTGACCCCAGAGACTACAGTACACCAGGCTTCCCTGTCCATCACCAACTCCCAGAGCTTGCCCAAACTCATGTCCATCAACTCAGTGATGCCATCCAACCACCTCAGTCCCTGTCATCCCCTTCTCCTACCTTCAGTCTTTGCCAGCATCAGGGTCTTATACCTAAAAGTATAATACCTAAAAGTTCTC